AACTATGATTTGTAGACAGTAGGCATTAATAGGAACATTTTGGTAGTTCTAACTGGTGATCGTCATTGCTTGCCTTACGCGGCCCCTCTTCTGCCGACTAAATGTTGAATATAAATTAGATTACCATGCATACTGTAATACAAACACTCTCGTAGATCCACAGACAGTTTTGCAAGAGAAAATTTGATAGTTTATTTGTTTCATCCAGATTCATGAAAGATTGTTTTATTTTGTGAACCTAAACTACAAATGCAATAACACAGGCTTTACGTTGTTGAACAATAGTTTTGGTAAAGCCTCAGTGGATGTGTTCTGACAGTGTGATGTGTCTCTGCGCCAGTAGTGCACAGAGTTCTGCTACAATTGGCATCAACCACCAGGGATGTTGATAGACCCCCTTGATAGCCCTATACGATTTAAAATATGAAACCACATGTTCAACATGAATTCGACACTTAGAGTGTTCTTTGTTAAAGATGTGCATTGCAGCTTGGTCCGCATTATCCATGACCCGTCGAATTTGGTCAGCTCTAAGTTTCGTCATGATTTGGTATCTGTTTGCGTAGCCATTGTCACCAAGCAGAGAGACGTCATTCGGAAGAGGCAGTTGCAGTCCTGGTCCGATTCCTGGCATCAGGTCGTACTGGCTGGCGTCGTTGCGGCGACCCAAAAATCCACTGTGTACAAATCGGAGGTTTCTCTCGCTATCAATTACAATCTAGAGAGACATAAAGGCAAAAGTAACAGTTTACAAAGGAAAAAGATTGTGCACGATTTACTTGGCAAGCACGATTTACCTGATGAATTTGAATACAACCAATTTGACAATTTTGTAATCAATTTTGATGAGACACTAATACACGTAAGAAGTTTGGCCACGTTTTGCAAAATGTCGATGTTTACTCACCATTGTATGTAAGTGTTAAACCCCTCAACAAATCTGCATATTTGTCAGCTTTCAACAAATCTGCATATTTGTCAGCTTTAGTACAGCTAAGTATAATGGGGCAAAATCGACGAAAATATAACAAAACCGTGTCTCTTCTTGGCTTTCTTAAAATATAACAAAACAAAGAGCGCCCCACATCTTCGTGTCTCTCAACCCACTGGAAATAGCAGCAACTTACCATCCCCAGTTTCATTTGCTCCTCGTCCATTAGCCCACAATTTGAACGAAATCAAACATCCTTTAATTAACAACAGGCCTAAAGGACCAAAATCAGGTATCACAGAATGATGAAAGGTCTAGTGGAATTTTTACCTGCGTACTCACACAATGAAAGCGAGAGTATCCATTGTAGAATTCATGCTCGGCCTCCGATTGTGGTCGCAGAATTTCATGTGATGTACCGTCTATTGCTCCTACTGCGTTAGGGAACATTGGCCAGCGGTCTCTGAGGGCCGCCCACTCTTCAACAGTCGGCCAGGACATAAATCTCCCTTGAAATTGCAGTTGGCGAAATGTTGAATAGGGAGGCTAACACGTCGTAAGTAGGGTACTGCCTTAGCCTAATCATTGTCATAAGAACTATTCTTAGATGAATGCCAATGGCGCCGTCCATGTCCTTGATTGATAATCAGGTGGTCAATGTCGGTGTCAATTTGCAGGAGCGATTCGAGTGTTTCTCCTGACATTCTGAAGAATTTTGCAGGATCTCTCCTTAAATCCGAAAATAAATCTCGCCGGTCGAGTTCCTGGTAACCGCCAACATTTGGAAAAAGAAGAGTGTACAATCTTGGAACTGGTAGAGGCAATGCGAAAATACAAGGTTAAGTTGATATCCTCATCACCAAAGTCGGGATGCATTGCAGGAACAGTTAACTATGTAAAAAAAATTGGTAACAAAGTTCAATGAACACATAAGCTACTAACAGATTCACTGCAAAAGACTCTTCACGTTGGGATGTGTATCTTATTTAACGGTTATAGCAATATCCCACGAGGTACCAGTAGTTTAGGTGTAACAAATAGTATCACAAGCATGAAGTGAAGTAAATTTTGTGGACAATAGGAAGATTACTTCTAAACGTTTTCTAGAAGTGGCGGTCAAAATTCCCGCCTGAGCTCACGTGGACAGAAGCATGCATGTGGGCTGTACAGTCGTGGGTCATAGTGTCCGAATGCTCTGTGTGTTAAAAGAGATAAAGAATCGCCAGAACAAGCTATTCAAACAAGAGTACTGAATATGCATCCTTTCTAATAAAGGAACTGCAGGATCGATTTCGTATGCAGCATACGTTTTGATGATTGGACAGGACCCGTCATACGGTCTAGTGGTGGATACAGAACGTCTAAAACGAATGAACACTAATAAGGCTGTAGTATTTTAAAACAATCGTGGCAATATACACGTCCGTCTTCTATTCTTTTATTGACGTGTGGGCATGTGTCTTTCTCTTCGAGTTTTATACACGCTGATTTTTTAGTAAACAAAAAGAAATAAATCTCGCTCGTCTGATGGTAAATAATCGTTCATTGTTTTTAAAACGCTTTTTTATTTAAGCGACGTAAAATTAACTTCAGTTACCCGAGGCTTAATAATTCTTAAGTTAATTCTTAAATTAATTAATAGGTTTAATCCACCTTTAATTTCATAGGCGTTTCAGATTCAAATTCTGATTCCGATTCTGTTTCCGATTCAGATTCTGATACTGATTCTTTACAGTCAAATTCTCTAAATTCTTCTAATGCCAATTTATTCGAAAAAATGCCGTCATTATTAATTTTCAACATTGCGGTTGTTACTGTATACCTAACACTCGAACCGCAAGACAACGACCGTGATATACGTTTTTGGGATAAATAAATGATTGCGCATCACATCTTTTCTTTATAAATTTCTTAATATTTGACGACGTAATGGGTCTCTTTCGGTGGTCAAATAACAAAGCGTAAGAATCTATTTTAACATACATTCAATGTTTGTCGGTGTACCCAGGTTTAAACACGTATGCAACTTTTTCCCGATTTGCCTTAGTAGTCTAATCGCGACTGGCTTTGTAAGTGTTAATGGTAATTGACGGTAGTTTCGACTTTACAGCAGCTTGCGCTTCGATAAACTCGTAACCGCCAAATTTATATCATCTGCTTCTGTAGTTGATAACAGATTTGGCGACCGACGATGTTATCGGCAGTTCTATTCCGCGTGCCGTATTTATACAGCGGATTTATGCCGTAACAATTCGTATCAGTCATCATAATCAGCAGACGTTTTTCTTGGTCGTCCTGATTATAATAAATGGGAGAATAGCATTGGGATACATAAGTGCCTTCTTTTATCACGGATTTGAAATAATCAGTTTGCTGGAATCAAAACGGCCGTAAACAACATTGGGGTCGCTGTTATTGGCATTGAGTCGCTCGTGGTCTTCGGTTATAATGTAAATTTGGGTTGACATGATTCTGATCTATATTTTAGTTGGGAATTCAGTTTTTTCATTTTTCTTGGATATTAATCAGCTGCGTCCAATGAATTTTCACGTTGAATATATACTCAGACTAGTTTAATCTTCTGTGTCAACGTCATATTCAATTATTAACCCAATTTCATATAAATTGGAATCCAGTTTACATTCGGCATTAGGTGGTAAATTGTACTCTCGTTTGTGCCTGATCCTTTTGTGTCGCCCATCGACAAACATCACGTGATCCATTCCTTCTATTTCAATGCAATTAGTGAAGCAAAAACACTTGACACAGCCGAACATTCCACGCAATTATAGCAATCGAAACACTCGTCACAGCTGTCTAAAACTCTTGAGTCATCGAAGTAGTAAGAATCAAAACAACATACGCAATTCATACATTCGCCGCATTCGTCGCACGTCGAACACTGGGTACATTTCCTGCAGTTGTGACATTTGTGGCAATCGTGATATTCGTTACAGTCAATACATTTGAACAAACTGTCAGGATTAAAACGTTAATTAGATCTACCACGTTATTAGATTCAACTGTGTCTTTGCAAAAGAAACAGTTGACGTTGGTTTTTCGGTTTGTCATATTGGGTTTCCGTTTAACGAAATTTAATATTTTTTAAATTTTAATCAGTAATCAAATCACTGGGAATAAATATTTGATCCGGTTTATAAACTTTATTTCCGTTTTTGGTTTGTCTCACCAAGCAAATGTGATGCCTTTGGTTCTGTACGTCCAAGTTCGCTTGCTCGATTAAATCACATTTCGTTTCGAAACCGTTTACGGTTAACCACGCAGTGTTAGCTGCGACTAATTTAGCGTATTCAAATTTAGTGGCAAAAGTTGGATCCATTTTACTTCTAGAGAAATCTTGGGAAAATCTGGCCCCTTTTGCGATCAATTCTCCGGGATTGGGCGGAATCCCGAGGGTTGAAAAGAGCCCCGGAGAGTTGGGACTTAGTCTGGAGGGTGGGGGAAGTTCCGTCTGAGGGGGGTTGGGTAGGTATAGGAGGGTAAAGCTGATCCTGCAACCCCACCTGTACTTAGTTTATAGTCTGATTGTTATACATTCCGATATTTGGCTGTTGAAACCGTGTATAAAAACCTATGCAGCTAATGACATTTCAAATTCTATTTAAAAATTAACTGATGACGTCATTGTGACGTCATGCTTCGCAGCAGCAGACTGTCTTTGTACTAATACTTTTGTGAAGGGCTTACAAAAGATCTATGATCTTCACCCTATCGTTTACGTATTGTCGCCTTGTTCGAAGTAAACATAGCCTGTGTCCAACACATGCTTGTGCTTATAATTATGTTATAAATCCAGAACTTATTCCTAATGTTCCCCATTTCCCCTTCCGTTCTTAACAAACCATTTATCAACAGCTCCCATTAGTTTTTGCATATGGATGTACAACAAAATACGCTTGTGTAAATACCTGCAATCGCGCCCGTGAAATTATTTCAAAGAGTTTTTAAGGGCTTTGTACACGACTTTCCACTAGGGACCCTAACCCAGTTGGGGACCTATTGTGCTCTCTTGTTGTAATTTGTGTATTTTGTTCTATCTTCTTTGCAGTTTCGGGCATGGTTGTTTGCCATCAGTTTTACCTTGTCGTTCGGAGCTATGTTTTCAAAGACCTGGCGTGTGTACAGTATTTTCACCAACAAGAAATTACAAAAGCGGGTAGGCTTAAAGTTGTTCGCTTTCTAATAAATGCGCATTTTGTTGGGGTTTTGTTGGGGGTACAGATACACCGACTGTATGATAAAATACATTTATGCAGCATTTAATATTGTTTTAACATGCCATAATAATGACAATTGACATTTACCTCATTAGTAAGACCAGCCTAAAAGAGGAATGGCAGCACTTAAGAACATCACATATTTCCTATTAAGTAAATGCAACGGCAACTAAAGAATTGGGGGCCTAAAGAATTGTGGTCGGCTAGCATAAATCACGGAAAATACAAGGTTAGAAACAAAAGCAGGCAAATAAGAAATCGTCCCACCTGACAACCACGCGTGTAGTTAATTGTAGTCCAACTCGTCTATTGTAGTCTAACTTGTTTTTTCCCTCCTATTACGCAGGTTATCAAAGATTATCGTCTTTTTGCAATGGTTGGTGTACTCCTGCTGATTGACATCGCAATTCTGGTATTGTGGCAGATCTTAGACAATATCACAATCACAATCAAAGTCCTCAGCGAAAAGGTACAGTAGTTGATAAAAGACTGTTTTTTATTGGCTTGTGGCTTTATAACTGCATAATTATTCACCACAAAAGCTGGGACTAACTTGCTTCCGTCTGTGGCCCACGCGATTCTACGATGATATCATTTGTTGTTCTTTCCACAGGTCTCAAACGACAGTCTTCTGTCAATAATGCCACAGGTACATCATCCATTTTATTTTTTGATTTACGATCACAGGACCACGAAGACATACCAAACATGAAGGTTGTTATACAGCAGCACAACTGCTCGGGAGACCTGTCCACCTACTTCATATGGGCCGTGTACATATACAAAGGACTCCTCCTTGTCTTCGGCACATTCATCGTTTGGCAAACAAGGTATTTAATAACTTAATACCAATACTATAAGCTGTCAAAGAACAGACTCCTGTCTAATAAAAAATTGTCTTTGACATTCCATGAACGCAAACGAAAGGCGATTTTTGTGTATCTTGTGTCATAGGCATCAAAATTAATGCAAGTCACAGAACGTGTTTCTTTGTTTGTTTGTCGGGTTGTTGGGGTGGGGGTTGTTTTTTGTTTGTTTGTTTTTTCGGAATTCCTTCCCTAGCCATGGGCATCGCCGGAGAAAGGGACGCTCATCACTTTTGAAAAAATAAAAATAAAAGGGTAAAGAGGAAAGGGGTACAAATCCACAAGTTTCCATGAAAATGATTCGCAATTGTCGATGTCAGTTTGATAGTCTTTTTGTGCATGTATCTTCGATCCCTCCATCTTGGAAAATGCCTTCTTGGTGACACCCGAGTCACTTATACGGCAGCGTTACTAAATGTTTGAATCTTCAAGCCTATATACGTTTTAATCAAAGTCACATATTACTGGTTAAATGCTCAGGGAAATGACCAACATCGGTAAAATCTCTTTATCCAACATTTCTCCACCAGATCTGACTACCTGCCTCGTGTTTTATAAGCTACTGAGAGACTTTTACAGCAAAATGCAACAGTAGCAACGTTTAACCTGTTAATCTTCTCGACAGGAAAACTATCCAATACAATACTGACATTTGATGATTTGTTTTGTAAAAAGGCTCAAGAGTCAGTTGTGAGTAGAAATAATCACAACACAAAATAGTTATGGACCTTTTTAACCTCGTTCCCATGGGTACGGTCTTGCCGCGTGTACGCAACGCCGTTAAGCGTGTTTGGCGTGGAGGTAAAAAACGTGGGCGTGAGTTTTTAGCCATTCAAATACGAGTGCGAGTCACTTTACATTTATTTATCTTCCTCCTTGATTGGGTGAGCGATGGTGACGTCACCCCTTTGTTTTTCGACTATGTTGGATTAGAAACTGATAGCGTGCACTACATTTGTGCTAGTATCCATATCGTGTCATAACTTCAGTTCGTTTTGGTTGGTGTTTTCACGGTTTTGAGTATTTGCAGAAATGGAAATGGTTAATTTTTGCGCGGTCATTTGCTGCAGCAACAGGGGTGATCGCGACAAGAAATAGTTTATCGTTTCAGGACACACTTTTGAAGGAAGACTACTGCTGTTCTTGTTTTGAAATAGTTTTAGAAAGGCCACCCAGTCTTGCAGCAAGAACATCAACATGGTCTTCATATTGAAGCATTAACACAGTTTAATATTTAATCTGGCCCAAGCAGATTCAAAACGGTTGCATTACAACACTTGAAAAGAAGAGATAGCAGAGCGTCTTTTTAGAGCGCTCGTAAACAACTCTGAACGCGCTCCCGTTCACCTTTTTTCCCCCGCTGCTTGCCCACGCTTTTTAAAGTCACGGTTATACGCACAAGACTGGTGGTCTATGTGTTTATGTGTCTGCGATATACCATGAATAACAAGGTTGTTTATGGAGTCTATACAAGAATATAATAGAAAATCAGCGCACTGGAATATGTGAGCGCTGAATTTTCGGTACCGGAGTACTTTCTTCAGGGGCGAACACTTCCTGTTAGCGAAGTGACATTTATTGCCGCATATGTCAGACACAAAATGAATGAAATCTTACACCAGCGCAAGTTTAATTCTTTTGTTATCGTACAGCCAGAGCAGTTTTAATTCCAGATCGATAACCAATAGCATTTTATATAAGTGATAGTTTAGCATATCCCGGTCGAAGCGTAAACCGCGAGACAACATTGCAATTAAGCTAAACTAAGCAAGTACTGGTCGAAGCGTAATCCGCGGACGGTAATTGGCTGCACTTATCAAGTCCCCGGTCGAAGCGTAAGCCGCGAGACAACAGAATAAGACATTTAAACATAGCCGGTCTCCGGTCGAAGCGTAAGCCGCGAGACAAGTCCCCGGTCGAAGCCTGAGCCACGAGACAACAATATAAGACAATTAAACATGGCAAGTCCCCGGTCGAAGCGTAATCCGCGGGACAACAGTATAAGACACTTAAGCATGATCAGTCTCCGGTCGAAGCGTAAGCCGTGAGACAACAGAATACATTGTAAATCAGTGCAGCAAATAGTCCCCGGTCGAAGCGTAAGCCGCGAGACGTAACATCGATTATTAAAGCAAGTCCGGTCGAAACATAACATCGGGTCTAGCAGTAAGTACTAGCATAATCATTCCCGATCGAAGCGTAATCCGCGGAATAGACATTATTCACGTCACACCCGTACGTACCCGAATATAGACTACCCATTCCATCTGGGTTATAAACTTCAAAGTGAACCATAAACATTATACAGACTTCCTATTGATTCCATGTATGTAAGAATTCGTTGATTGCATAGGTTTTATATAGCTATATTGATTCATAATCCTAAGGCCCATGACGGTGATAAAAATGAAATTTCTCCACTAAAAGCCAAGGATCCCACCCAGGGAAGGGCGAAAAACTCCTGTAAACCTCGATGGCTTGTTTATAGTGTCTTGAAATATGTTAAGTGTATTACTGTTCCTTTTTTTCACATCCAGAATGCAAAAAGTTCAAACCACAAAATGTATGTTCCCATGGAAAACAAATATTTACTTCACACTACATATTTTGGTCACCCGACCAATGCCTGTCGATATCAAACCTTTACACTTGGTTACATAATTTTACTGGCCGCTTATTATTACTTATTCTGCCAGAAATGTGAACATACCAGCTCTGAACGACAGCAAATATATCGGGCTGTCCATATACAACGTGGTTATATTCAGCGCGCTGGGGGTGTCGCTGTCTTACCTTCTTGCTGACAACAGTGGGTACACCTACGCCATAGTTGGTGGGCTGGTCATCTTTTGTACGACGCTCACATTGTGCCTCCTATTTCTTCCGAAGGTGAGAGGGAATTTGGCCGCAATTACTTGTTGCAAAAAGGCTATTTATTCATATGGGTTTAACATGTCGGACAAGGGAAACATACTACCAACTCATTTTAGTCTAGGGTATACATGTGTGTTTTCCCCTTCTGATTTTTCAGGTCGTAAAAGGGAATTAAAAAGTGTGGAACTGAAAGAAAATGTAAAACCTAGATTTACAATCTCATAGTGCGTCCCTGAATTAATTCTGGCCTACTGATACACTCTAATTTATAAAATAATTGGGACCCGTTCTGTTTGAATGGGGCAAGCCCCCCACAAATTGTGCAGGTGAAAAACGAAAATTCCGGGGAATACTACCGGAAAACTCGTCTGAGCCTTGAAGCCATTTTGCGCCACGGGTGACTGTTTTTTTTTTTTCTGGTTTAATGTTTGTGTAGTCTTGCATTAATTTGTATGCACATTTTCTACCCAGCTTACACTCTTAAACTTAAAAGTTTAATGTTTCCTTTATGATTATCCAAAGCACAAAACGACCGTCCACCTTTCGCAATTACACATCCTTTAGTAACTTACAAAGCGTTGCACCATTAACAAGTGTACTGACGCTAAAATTAAAATGTTTATCGCAGCTGCGTATCCAGCTTTTGGTGTCACGGGGACAAATTCCAAATTGAATGTGGCTTCAGGCTAATTCAGCATGATGATGGGGGAGAAAAAACTATCAAGGGCCTTGCTTACGATCCCGACAGCCTCACTTTTCTTTGCTGGTATTGTTTTCCTAGGGTTTTGGTGCTAATATTTGACAAATATACCGATTATTTTCTTTCCTACTCACCTACAAAGTATTCTTTGTAAAACAAATCTGTTTGGGGGGGAGTTGTGGTTATCCTATTCTTTTCGGGGAGGTGGACACAATGCAACTCATATCTTGGAATATTTTCTATCATGGCTAGCAATTTTTTGATCCGTTTTGCTATCCGTTTTACCTCCTGTTCCTTTCAGTGGCTATAATGAGACGTTTAATCCTAATGCTACTTTTGGTTATTGCCACAAGGTTTTGAGAATCATCTATGGTTACGCGCCGGAGGAAGTGGGCACCCGCGTGATGTCCAACATAAATGGCCGACAAGGGACACGAAACGGGCCTTGCGAGGAAAGGACGCGTAGCGTAGTGCTCGGTGGGGAGTACAGTACCGTAGTGCAGGAAGAGCGGGAACGACCCAGCGAGGCCAGAATATAATGGATCTGAACAAGTCGAAGCCTTGCCTCAATGTAAATAGTCTACTACTAGCCGGCGTGTAAAAAGTAAGGGCTAAGCTGCTTTCCATTTGGCCTTGAAAACCAACACCCACAAACTTCGCAGATTTTGGTGTCTTGATAGTAAACTGCAACATTGTATATCTTTAACAAAAGAATTAAAAGGTTACAACATCTGGTGATTTCCATTCTAGATTAAAAATGTGCTTTGGTATTATTGACACAAGGTACGATTATATCAATCGAATTCCCCGTGATCCCCTACAGAGGTCCCATTTTAAGATTGATCAGTGATTTGCAAATTCAACGACTACGTGACCGGGAGCGGACTTCGTGGTTTTCATTTTCTAAGCTTGCAGCTGAAATGCCGCCCACTTTTTCCTAAGGTTACTACCTTACTATGTAAAATGCTGTATATAGGCCTTGAGTAGATGGCACTGAGCTCAGCCGGAACGCCTTGGAATTTGCAGCGCCTTCTGAAATCGTCATTCTCGGAGAGAATGTCCCCAGTGCAGAAGGGCGTGCACGTGCAGCCCTCATAAGGAGAGAATCCAATTTCGAGCATACGTACTCTTTACATCACAAGGACACTAATTGATCTCATGTGCCGTGTTGAGGCCAAATATGTGATCTAGGGTCACAGAATAACCAGCACAAAAACTCCAACTGGATAATTTGCAGATGAGGCATCTATTTTTAACTCTGCCCTGTGTAACCCGTGCTCTCTTAGGGTAGGGATCTGTTGTCAAAATAATGATAGAGAGTCATCAGTGGATTGAGTTACACACACAATTGATTTATTTTGAATAATTATTTACATCGTCTAAATTCACAATAATAGACTTCCGTTGTAGATTATTGGCACATATGGAAAACTGGTGCCCTGCGTGCCAATCAACTTCTATTACTATTGATACTGGATATTACTGTAAGGAATATTCATTATGGAAACAATAATCACAGCATATAGGTCTTCCGTATCTGAGCGGTTCACTCAGTAATGACTGATCGGTAATTCATGCCCGAGTTATACACTGAGGAATAGTCCATGAGTGGTTGTTCCCAGCTCCAGAATTATGGATAATATCGATAATAATCGATAATTATCTACCTGCTCCGGAATTATCGATAATGACCGCCGAGCTGCTCCTTTTGTATTTTATATAAGGGGTTCTGAACAATTCATACATGAAGAAAAGTCGATGGAAGAAAACTGATTGAGGTTTTGTGTACACTTGGTCTCGTTAATCAATATCCGGGAAGGTTGGGAGCGAGTTGGTGAAAGGCTGCTCTTGGCTGAACTAAAGGGGACTTGGTCAACAAAGTGGCACTGTAAAAATAGTAATAGTGCGATAAAAATACGGACCAATTTTGCGGGTTTTTCAAAAACTGTCTACGTTTGTGCAGTTGGTGGCGCCACGCAGAAATAATTTTTTAATTGCGCAGGACTATGGAAACGAAAAATGTCACGACCTCTTAGGACCTGGTTTCGTGGGTATGTTTTCGTACAAAGGACTTGCACGCCTGAGCTGCACGGCCTAGCCTGACAATTTTTTTCGGAATAAAATAACAACCTAAAAAATTCAAAACATCTGTCCTTCACTCTGAACCTCAAGCCGCATTTATCAAACAATCAAACGGTCTCCTTCACCGCCTGGTTCACCAGCGGTGGCCCCATTGTCAACCTGATCCCGTTGCGTACTTGCACCAGCTGGAGAACCGTTTCCACAGCGCTACGTGGACAAAATTTCAGAGCAGATACCATTGGCCTATATACGTGAACTGGTGGCACAGCGAAATACAAGTGCAACAATAAAATTGGACAGGCTTATCGGGTATAACGTTGTCTTTGAATAATTTTCGGCTGCCGGCACACTCAGTCTTCCCCCTTAGTTGATAAACCTTAGTGGCTGACATTCACACTGGACCCTGCATGACTCAATATGCAACGACGAAAGTACCAACACTGATACGAGACCACGGACTTTGTTCGGCACGCAGCGGTGATTATGCTGTCAGGGAGCTGTGCGAGCAAAAAGAGCCCAATGTTCTGCAGCTGTACAGCGAATCGTTTGGATTGTACATAGGAAATTTTGCACCAAATGAGACAGCCATTGACTTGGCTTATCCAACGAAGGAGGAAAAATCCCAAAGTACATGCATGTAACTTGAAACGCCCAACTCATTGCCATTTGTATTGAACCACATCACATCTACCTTAACCATTGTTGACGAAGTACATGACATTTGATGAACAGCTCAGTGTGGGTAAAATTCTGTCCGCAAATTTACCCCAAACGACAAATAGCTCTTCCTGAACGCTAGACATTCAGGTTAGGTGGCCGTTTTCAATGCGTGTATTTCCTTTGAAACAAATATTCTAGGCAGGCAGAAAGTTAACTCACGGGAGTTCGATCGGGTGATGCGTAGCAGTTAGTAGAACGATCAAATCACGTGATTTCTGAGACATTCTTAACACAAGGTCCCACGTTGGAGGGTTTTAAAAGCTCTGGTTAGGCTTGCATAAACGCGCACACATCACAAGCTCATAATTTCAAAGAAATTAAGGCACCTACTACCTTACTACCGATACCATACAATAATTTTTGTGTCGCGGTTTAATAAATTACTGCGAATTATACGTCCAAGAAACAAGTTGGAGAGAAAACTGATAAACTTCTTAAATTCAAATCTGATTTTGCAAAACATATCCTTCTTTCTCACTAACAACGAAACGTATGTACTTAATGACTCAGAGAAGAAAGTACTATGTAAAAATTAATAAGAAAAGATATATGTCTGTAGTATACATATGTAAATTACGAAGTATGTGCATGTATTGTGTATTAATAGCTCTTTATTACCAATGACAAAGCATCCACTCTCTCTTGCCTGTAACATTTTGGTCTGATTTGAAGGACTGTATGTTCTCATTTCTTTTGTTATTTGCCATACATAATGAGTAGAGCGACTGATCAGCTTGACCACATGAGCAGTACTAACAATGTGATTGGATCATTTTCCCTGAAGTTAATGGCGACGACTTGAAGGACGTTTGAATTGACTGATAATTTCTTGAATTCCTATGTTTTTTTATGGCAGTAACGATAAAATACTTTTTTTTTCTTACTCCCAACAAATCAATACATGTTCGATGGCTTGTCACTCCGACACCGGGCGGCTTCGTTTTAAGTTGTTGCGATGGTGGTGTATACAGCGTAAGCTGAAAATAGCAGAATATGCCACTGTGATTTGCGAGTTTCACTCGATGTGTCTGTCACTGTAATGAGTTGCTCTCTGTTGCCATTTACCAGGCGAATTGACCGAAAGTCACGACCCACCTCACTACAGACGATGAATGAATTGCCTCCCCGTGGAAATAACGTTGCATCTGAGATGGACTGACACGCGAAGAATTGACTTTTCACTCACAGACCATGGACAGACATGAACGACAAAAGCCCCACTCGACTCTGCGAAAGAACAGAATCAACATGTACATGTATAATTTAAACCCCTTTAAGAACGTGGGATGAAATGAAAATTGGTAATTGGTAATTTGAGTACTATAGATCGGCTTAATAGGACGGTTTTATCATAAGTAATTATGTTTTGTGTTAGATAATGTTGGTTTAATTTGACGCATCTCGATTTTATGCTCAAGTCTAGCCTATTTCTCACGCATCCCAGACGGTGGGCCTGCTTATTAAACAGCCTGCAAAAATAAGACGACTGACTTGAACGAACCATACTATAATACAGGACACAGGAATTACACAACTCTGACACTTCAAGTGCTCAATGATCATCGCCATCCAGTCCGACGTATAATAATAAAATTCCAGATTACTGCCTGCAGGAATAACCGTACGAATGGGGAAAGTAATATCCTCGCGATGCCTGTGGTGTTTTTCATGCAATTAAGTACAGCTTATAGCTGTGACCAGGAAAAAGAGACAGCAAAATCCCTAACGTTTGACCTACTTTTGCCATCGAGAACAAACATTGTTTTTTGATAAACTGGCTGCAGAGGCTGCACATGCTTGAAAAAATTCGCTAGCGAAGTCTGGCTTAATACGTACCCTGCCTCCCTGGCGGCCGATTCACGTCTTTTTGTTCATTTTGTTATAAGCAGATTGAGGTACACATAGTGCAAACGCAAAAAGACCTTTTTAAATTGCCAAACGCAGGACTCTAACTGCAACGGTCTTTCCTGCTATACTGTACAATGACAGCTCTCCAAGGACATTTTTTATCTTATCATGCATCAAGAAATAACAATCGGATTGTCATTGAATTGGGTAAATCGACAGATGTACGGTCGGTCGGTCTACTTGAAGTGACAACGGACAGACCTCGCAACATGTGCTCATTAGGCCTACTGCATCCAATTACTGTCACAAGCAGGATTTTTTTTCACAAGTGTCCTCTTTACACCGATGGCAAAATGTCTTTTTCCCTATGAATATTGAAACTCCATTCTTTGTTGCAGTAATTTCCACCTTGAGATCTTAATTGCTCTGCTTACATTCTTTTCTTGAATCCTCGTGTTTCATTTCTGTCCAAGAATCACTTCTAGAAAGTTGATTAATTTGGTCAGGTATTACCATACGTTTGAAACCAAAATAAGAGAAAAAATGTAGATTGCGATGGGAAAGCTGAGTATTATTGGGGTGGAAAGTTGGTAATTTGGTCGGAAAGTGGGTAATTGAACGCGAATAAGTCATCGAAATGACGAAGTTTTAGTGGGGTGAAAACGAATTAGAAAACTGAAAGTTTGGAGAGGTTACTATATACAGGGTGTCCACATAAAGAGCATACCGAGATAAAAAAAGACTGTAATGGCAAAAGTACTTTATATGGAGAAGAGAAATATATCTCTAGAAAGGGCAAATGTCCTCTTTGCAATGGTATACAGCTTGTGATGTTATTGACATCCAGAAAGTACATCACACAATGCAGGTAGGATGACCATTCATGTGTTACAATGGTAAAAGCATTTGGCCTTGACCCCACGTGTTGACTTTTGCTATTCAAAATATGCAACTTGTCACAGTGCCGATTTCAGTACCCTTAACATCGGTCTAGTTTGTTGTCTCATCTGTGTCAAGAACATCACAAGCTGTATACCATTGAAAAGAGGACATTCTGCCCTTTCCAGAGATGTTTCACTTTCACATATATTTATCAAGCAGTTTTGCCATTACAGTAATGTTTACCTCGGTGTACTTTTTATGTGGACACCCTGTAGGCCTACATGACCTTATTTCCTCCAAACAACACGATACCGTCATTCTTTTACAGTACTCTCATCAAGTTTTAATTAGAAAGTAATCTGTTTTCCCTAGTTAACCGGTAAAACAAAGGGGATGAAATTCCAGAAAGGTATACTTTCTGGAAATTTTGAACAGTTTCCTTACTGAACAACTTACGGTGACATCCAACCGACTCTTGAATATGCAGACGAACCCATTGTAATGACAACCACTTCTACAAAGTTCTGACACGTACGATGAAAAACCTTCCATTTGCCTTGTTTTTGAGTCTGCAGTACAGAGGAGTAACTTACAGGTGTAAGTACGAGTGTACCAATCCCAGTTTTCATCCTGACTTCCAACAGAATCGTAATGAACGCCGAAGCGATCTCAAACAGTAACAGGCACTTGCTGCATGTAATTGTGTGAAGTACGGTTTTGTTTTGACCTCAAGAGATAGTTTAAAATATAGGCGGTCTTGGCAGAATGGCTCATTTGGTGACATCATGACAATCAAAATGGAAATACTGAAGTAGGCCTATGCGTAAACCTCTTTTCCATCTGTGGGCGATGGTTAGATATGTTTTAACGATAATTAATGCAAATTCACGAGAAAATATTTGAACTTGGAATGTTACTGTTTATGTCCACTTTAATCATTGCTTTTTGGAACAAAATAACTCCATTGGAAAATTAGAAAACGCAATGACGGACAAGTCGACTCAGGCTGTTGCTTACATCATGTAATATTCATTGCAAATTGCGTGTTTTGTTTCAAAAATGCCTGCAAAAAACGAATATTTTGGCTTGTGGAGCAACATAGGTTATTTAGAGTGCGATGTTTGTTGGTAACAAATGCAATCTTTTAAGACCTTAATAAAGATTGGTTGTGGACTGAAGTACACTCTATTGAAATATTGATATAGGAAGTGCCTTGTTTGGTTGTGAATTGAGTAAAAAAGATGCCCTTTGCCACAGTCAAAGCATCATATACAAAAGTGGTCATGCTTATGAAACCCAAACGATCATTTGTAATAAGAATGCTCTATAATGCAGAGTTTTTTAGGTTTCACGTTGTATACTGTGCCCTTTATCTCTAAGAGAATGTGGTAGTGTGGTCGTATGTTATTGATCATTAGACCCATAGTCTGAAGTTATCGCCCCATCGATTCACCCAATTCAAACCAGAAACAGGTAATTTGCAGGTCAACATGATTATTATCTAAGACCAGTATGGAGCAATCAAAAGATTTAAGACAGCAAAGATATGTCAGCTCTTCCCGTGTATATTGTGTGAGATGAATCACGAAAAAAAGAAAAAAATTATAATAGCAAAATATCAAGCTTTAGCAACTTTTTGTGCTAAATGGCTTACAATAAGGTTTCTGCGCAGAATGCAATCACGGTTTTTCTCGTGAATACTGTATAAATACTGAACACTGAAAGCCAAAAAAAGAACCAAAATGCCCTTCATACTATAAAACAGCCTAAATTTGACGAAAGGTGAATTTTTCAGGAATGCATAAAAATTCATTGCATGAGTCCTGAAAAAGTGGAAAATGTGATATGTATGCTAAGCGACGATTTGACAATCCCCAGATCAAAAGACTAACGGCACGAGTCTTGTTTGAAATGACGGACGACTGACTGGATAAGAGTGAGGACATGGTAATTATGTTAAAATTCAGTGAAATGTCTTGGAAAGCGCAATTTACTTAAAGCTGGAGGACAAGGCAAGATAGAGCGACATTGGCGCGTTAGTTTGGGAAGCTGCTGCCAAGGAAATAGAAATTTCCTCAGGAGTCAAACTCCACATTTGTAACTAGGAAGAACAGAAGTTTCTCAAATAAGTTTCCCGCACGAAATAGGTGCAAACTATTTCAGCAAAGATACGACTCCATGACTCTCCTCCGTGCACAAAAAAAAACCTTTTATGTCCTGCTCTTGCGTGCTTCAGAGGCTCCAGTGAATTCCATTCGAAAGTTATTTGTGTTTACGTGATTTTGTTGCAAGTCAGTATGATATGTTGATGGTACTATAGGGGAAAGAAACAGATGGTATCCACCCCACACAGTAGCCTAAGCCAGTTCCCACAAAGCTGCGAAAAAAACATTGGTTGCATTGTTCATCAACATGTTATACAAAAGGGTGCTTCTTTTTTAAAGGAATTAAAATCATCAACATTTAAAAATGGACAATCGTTATTCAGAAAAAACCACCCCAATATCAAAGTTTGATACACCTCAGCTGGTTACATGACGTACTTGGCATTTTCCATCTAGATTTAAACATGAAACTTCCTGCCTATTGCAGATTTAACGTCTGCATTATTTTCCATGCAACGTACCCTGTATTTTATATCTTCAGAAGATTTGGTGAATGTAACTCAGTGCCGTGTTGTAGGGTTGGACGGAGGATGGGGGATGCGACAGCGTGGAGAGACAATTAAAGTCTCAAAAGACGTGGCTAATCAAAATGACCCCTCTTTGTTCATTTGCAAATAGCTAACGCCCATCCCCTTCTAAATTTTACATTATTTGTGTAACAGTTGAACACTAGAGTAAGTTATTGTAAGCTCATGGCTTACGCTGATTGTAACACTTAAATCGTGGGCAAATAATAAAAAAAGACTGAATTCCATGTCTGAGAACAAAAAACGACTCAGGTATTATTTTCAAACCATACTGAAGAGGGCTTTTTAAAGGAATTTTTCACAGGGTGGAAAAGTATGAAAATAATGGTACAGATATATTTTCATGGTGCTTTCACATTAGTTGGAATTGACATCCCTAACACATAGTTCGCCCTCTCGTCATGGAACGCCAGAAAAGTTTAATAATTTCAAATAGTTTAACCATTTTCGTTTTGCTACGAGGACAAAACCAAGAAGTATGGCAGCAAATCATGGGGGCGCCGCTCCCACGCACTCTTCATTTTTTTTTTTTTTTGATTGGGTGTGTGTGCGCGAGCATTTTCTTTTTTTTCTTTTTTTTGTTCTGCCTAAGCGGTAGTGTACCATGGTTAATGGCCATAATATTACCGATTGGTGCAGGGCTGTTCGGGTCGATAACGATTAATGGACGAACGCATCATACTTTACATTAATGGTGCACGCTTAATTATGTCCAAACTCGAGTATTTAACGCATAAGAGGTGTCAGATTTTACCATACTTTTCCTGAATAAAAAGTGACGAGATTGCCAATAAATTGCCACCAAAATGTATTTTCAACGCGTCACTTTTTGTCTAGCCGGTGAGCACATTTTCAAAGACAACAGGTCTTTCTCAAATGACACTAGTACTGCACACTATACATAGTATCACGTGCATCGACATTTTGGAGGACAAATTTTGACACGCATCAGCTGCGGCACAAGACGACATTTTGAATCTACATGCACGTTTGTACTTGTATAGAGCAACTGATTTGCACACTGCGCGGGCATGAACCTGAAGAGACTGAACACGCAGTTGCATTTTTCTACGAAGATAGTGTCCTGTGAGAGATATCTATACACTGATAGGAGTCCTGTATTTCATTAAAGTGTATTATACACTGATTTCAAAATTTGGTGTATTATATGTTAATGAAATATATAATTAAAAGTTTACGACATTATCAATGGTGTTTGTGAGGTATTTAATCAATCCGAGATTTCTGTGATTAAAAACTCCTTTCCGGTATATGCATTAATTTGGGTAATTTCCTGCTCTGTGTGTTCTGTTCTAAGAGTGATATTCCTTTCTTGGGCATGTCCGTCAAACACGTTCTTTGTATAGGCATAGTCTGTAGAAAGCTTTTCATATCTAACAAAGATTTAACAGGCTGAATAAGCCTGTCAATTATCAATAAGCCTGTCAATTAATATGAAGACAAAACTCTTCTGGAGTATTTTGTAACTGGTTATTGGAAACATTGCGAATTCGAAATGAACGGCAACACTAATTAATTATTTTAAGGAGTGGTGATCTATCGGAAAGTGAAAACAAATCATTCTAAATTTAGATCGAAATGCTTTTAATTAGTACCTTGACTAAGAAACACGCCAGTGGAAACTTGAAAGTGAATTTTCCACTTTTTGGGCGAGTAAATTGCCCGAATTTGAATTAAAGTTCACGATCTGGAAGTAACAGGTGGATTGCCTCGTTTGGCAAAACTAGGTAATAATATTCAGCGGAATGATTTTGTTTGAAGATTGCAATCACAACGACAGAAAGCCTGAAATACACTGGCTATAAAGGGTACGAAAGCGGCACACTTCAGGATTATCCTTGTGACGGGTTTCTAAATTTATAAACGCCTACGACAGTTTAGCCATTCCTACTGGTCGAGACCGATATGTGATGTGTGCGGTTTTACACGAAAGTTATAGGTCCTATTTACATTTATTCCCTTTATTCGCAATTCTTACTTTATCCTAAAACTTACCACTGGTTGATTTCTGCCAAGTCATAAATAGTGCTGCCGGGGACATCTTGAGGTGTTCTCTGTACATCAGAGTATAATCTGAAGCAGGTGGCATTTGACTGATAGTAATCTGATTCTAATTGGTTATGCGTTCAATCTCATCTCATATGGTCTGGCGATGGACGAAATGATTATTTTTCACATGACAAGAAACAGTGATCTGCCATCGCAATCATACTGAAGGACAGGCTCAAATAAGCTGCTTGGATGAAAATATCGTTATTAGCGGCGACGCTGTTTTCGTTCCTTGAGAGCATCACGAAATCCGCAACGTCCAAAGTTCACCTTATACGCGCGGGTCAAAAAGGCATTGTGCTGGAAAGGGGATACTAGTGGTTGATCCAGTATTTTCAAAAGGAGGGCATCCGACAAACAAAAAAGGGTTAACCCAAAC